AACCACACGATCTCCCTAAATATCTGATTTTGATAAATGAGCATATGTATATAACTTATATTCCCTATAATTACTGTATAACCCATTTCACTGCTTTGCTAAATGATCCACTTTATAGGGTTATTCAAATATCTGCCTAACTTTATGCACGTCTTAACCGAATGCGCACATTCGTTTACTTTAAAATATTTATTGGGCATTGAAATGAGACTAAACATGCCTCATTTATTGTGAGATTATCTCACACTGATCCTTGGGTATGTACAATCATTAACTTTATTTATCTCAAAGTGCATATGAGATAATTAGCTCAGGATTGTAATATCATTAACGGGAATTTTAATTTCATTAATGGACTATTTTAGTTTGCAATCAATATCCTTCAAATCTTTAAATATTAAGATTTTATGATTGCACTTTATTGTTCCATAAATGTTACCATTTGAGAAACATATTCCCGGTGTCCATATATTTCTTAATAGAGTCGATATGAGTGAAATCTTTAATGACTAAACGTACCATATATCTTTCAATATTGCCCATTTGAATTACATTTGGTCTCAATTATTTGTAACCAAAGAAATTCACACCTTATGGCATTTCGATAAGATCCTAATGTCTTGTCATTCTAAATTTCAACTCATCTTTAATACTTTATTATTTTAAGGTTGTTGAGTTTGCTCTTTAAGTAACAATTATCAAGACTTGATTGGGGAATTGTTCAACATTGTCTTATCAAATCTCCAAATCTACTTTTCAAACAATGACAAGTATAAAGACATGTACATTGTCAAAAGCAGTATTAGGAATCGAATTGACTTATCTTTAAAGACAATGTCTATAATCTAAATTTCTCCCCTCAAACTCAGCATCCTTAAAATATTTTAAATTTCCCCTTTTAAAACATAACATACTGCAGCACTTAATGTTTCTCCTAAATATACCTTAGTGAAGAACAATGACTTATCATACTTCCTTGAATGTCATTGAATGTTCTATTCTTGAATTTTGTACCATTTTAAATTGCTTATGCAAGATTTTACTGTATGAGACTTTTATTTAAATTATAGGTCTAATTTTGAATTATGAAATATACCAAACTTAATGTTTTCAAATGAACAAATTAACTAAATTTGTTCAAGAGAAAATCTAAATCCATCTAATGACGGTACCAAATGTCTATTTCATAATTCAAAAGAAAACCTAAGAGTCCTCATAGTCTCAATCCCAAATCTTACATAACCTTTATAGATGTATATCTTTCAACATCAATTAAATGTTGGTTATGTGAATAACCCTTTATATACACATTTATGTGAACAGTGTAACCCAGGATCTATTCACTAAATGTGTCTAGGTACAAAGTCAAAATATATTTTAGAACAGATTAAAGTGAGAAACAAGCATAATTACGTTATTCAACGTACCTCAGATGTAAACTGCAATTATAATGATTTATCTTAAGATGTACTAGTCAAATTAGCACTTAGTCTTTTCTCCTTTAATTATTTATTCTTCGTGTGAACGGTCAAAGTTTTATTATTTATGTTTTACAACAAACCTTATATTGACCATTCACGTAGAAAAATAAATTAAACCATATTCACTTTCAAGTCAGCGAAACCACACTAACTGAAGTGCTATAACTCAAAATGAGATTAGACTATTACTTAATATGCTTACTTATGTTCCTTTTCTTTATACCTTATTTAAACAATAGATATCAAAATCTAATTTGTTGCAACTTTATCGTTTTAAAATAAAACGTATCCTTACTATCTTTAAGGAACCTTCTAGTACGTAGCCCCAAATTAAACCTTATGCCCCCAAAAAAAAAAAAAATATTTAAAATGGATGCACCTAATGATCTTAAATTTTATAAATAGAACGACGATATACTCTAGGTTCTTCTATTGTTCTATCCAAAAAAACAAATTCAAGATCTATGCACCATAATAGGTAATAATAAAAATATTTGTGCAATTAAGCACAAAGTGTTATAGGCAGATAATGTGTAACATATAAATAAATTAAATAGAGAACGTAAATAAAACCAATATACTCACATTATAATCCAAATGTGACTTTTCAATTTTAAATAATTATGGAGTACATCTCAAGATGCCTAGCACAACATTAATATCATGTCTTTGGACAATAATATTAACTGTAAGTGGCACTCTCGTTGTAGTAATCAAGTGCTGATGATAAATCCTGTCAAATAATGAGCCCATCTTTGGATGTCACTTATTATTCACATGGAAACTTAACAATTGTCACGCACTTATTACCACAGTTGCATATGTGGTTCGGCCAAATATCAACCTACCTTTGGGTATAATTAAATATTCGCATGAATTCACATATACATAACATCTTAACATTCTCAATAAGCTAATCTCCACAGAGAGGTCACTTTGGTGGCTTCATGCTTCAATCAGTTATCTTAAAAGTCAGACAACTTAATAACAAGTCATTAGATGTACCCAAAAAATTATTTAGAAATTTAAAGTCGTTGTTGAACGCCGAGGCTCTAATGACATCACCTAAGCGCTAACAGGCTGTATCCAACACTAAGGTTGCCTCACTGTATTGTTTTCGAATCAAACTCAGTAATATGGTTATTCATAAAAATGAGTATGAATTGACAACATCGAATCCATCTTTATTTTGAATTTGAGCCAAAAATGATGTGGGGCTCACAATTCAATCTTATTTAGATTTAGTGGCCAAAATAAACTTTTAACCAATAAATCTAACCTTATATGGATTGGAACTAAATTAATAAACATATAATTAGACTTAAATAAAAGCCTTGAGTCAAATATCGAAAAAGTCAATCCTTATTTGGTTAATAATAACCACTATCCATATTTTGACTCAACAACGATGAAATGACAATGGATCAGAAGCTTATTAAAAATTAATTTGTATCCTTAATTTTGACCCATTACTAAAAAAAAATTAAGTCTAAACGGCATAAACTTTATCATCTGAAAATTCCCCAAATTAGCCTTAGAAAACCGAATTTGAAATTCAAAATGAATTTCACTTTATTGACCAAACAAAAAAAAACCTCAAAAGAATTTAAAAGAATTCACATATTAGTTCGGTCCCTCAAAATAATTGAAATATTTTAAACGGCCCCAAAACCTTAAATTAACTTTTTATTCCTTAAAAATTACCCTTGCCCCAAAACCAGAAAATCTTTCAACTTAAAGGACTGAATTGAAATTTTGAAAGAAAAGCCTTTGAGTGAAAAGGGATCTAAGATTAAGAAATACTTAATTTGAGATTCATAATATATTTTCGAAAAATATATGACTGTTTTGGAAGAAACTTTAAAAGTGGGGACTGAAATGCAGTTTTCGAAACATTGAGGGCCCCGAATCAGGCATAACCAAGATACGGGCCAAATCGAAATATTGCTAAATATCTTAAACTTAAATTAGGGGACTGAATTGCAATTTTCCAAAACTTAATTAATCCTTCTACCCTAATCTGCCAATCCCGCCGCCACCACCATGCCTCAACGCTGATCATTGGCTGGCCAGAAAAATGGCCCCGCCGCGAACGACTATGGGACCACCATCCTAATCGGCCGTACACCACCGCCGGATACACATAACTCACAAGCACCCACGCCACCGAAATCCACCGTCGGCGCCACGGCTGCCCCTTCTGCGAATTATGCCGCCGTGGCGAGACCGAAGCTCCATCGCCGCCCGAAACTTTACGACCAAGAAAGCCATAGGGCCGCCGTCGTCTCAGGTTTGAAACTCTATGGCGATGGAGGGTTTTCTTTATTCCATATTCAGATTCAAGTAACAAAATTAAACCAAATGGGATCTGAAGTCTGAACATTAATTGGTGGCATAGATTGGAATTGTGGTAGTGCTGAAACCGCATCGCGGTCGACATAAACAGATGACCGTCGCCCCTAATTTCACCTTAGATTTGGAATTTTCAAATATTAACCTTAAAACCTTAATCCAAAAGTTCAAATTCAGGCGACCTAATTTCGGATTTAATATCCGACCGGAATTTTCATAATTAAATTGACAAAAAATAGGTTTCATATAATACTAAATTCTAGATCAGCATAAAACCCAATTTTCAGAAATATGAATCCATGGAAAAATATATATCACATAATACCGAATTGAATACTAATCTTAAAGATAATTCCAATTCATATATGCAGATTATTGACCGTAATTCTTAAAATATCAATGGAAAATTCTCAATGATCCAAAACATGGTGGCTCTGATACCACTTGTTAGAAATTTATATCGTACATACATACGAATTCCCAAGAACCACATGCTTGAATCAACGAGAATTAAACACAAACATAAACACGGAAGCGTACCTTACATCACGGAATCAAATCTTCGAATCTCCACTGGATAATCTTCGAATCTCCACTGGATTTGGGACAGGTCTTCCAAAGAATCCGCAGTTCCTTATTTTTCTCTCTAACGATGGATTTTAGAAGAGACGGAATGGTTGCGTTTCTTTGGGGACCACGACCCTTTATATAACTGTAGAGTCCAGTTATATTATAATTGTGATTCAGCCCCATCAATAAATCACAACTAAGCCCTAATTGTCTCTACACATTAGGCCCATAATTATAGTTTAATACCCATAAGTCCAACCCAATAACCTTTATTAGATCACAATTAATTTGGACTTTCTTTAAGATAGCCATACACATTTACGTCACATATGTGAGCCCACATAACTATTGAAATAATTCCAACAGGGACCCCATTCAGGCCCTTACTTGTCACCAATGACAATTGTAATTGAATTTTTTTATGTCTTTTTACTTTTTTCTTTTTTAGGTAAGAATTACATACACACGTATTACACTCTCACCAAAAGTGTGTAGTATGTGTCTCAAATCACAATGCCGCTTCACCATATAATATTGGAGGGGGTTTCAACACTTTTCTGAGGTGAAGTGTGTGAAAATGGTGGAGATAATGAAAATGAAGTATAGTTACAAAAGGTACAATGTTGTTTACACAGCGTCTGTTCTCATGATTCTCTGTCTAACTGAGACAATTTGTTTGTTTCTTTTTTCTTGCAGGCACTAGTCTTTCTGTGTTTAATTAACCGAAGGTTTCTTGTGTGTGTGTGTGTGTGTGTGTTTGAGTTGTGTGTAAAAAAATTATGCCATTTGTTGCTTGCTCAACACTTGTACAAAGCTAAGCTAGTTTTGTTTAGAGGTTTTTTTAATGAATGAAACCTCTCCACTAATCTCCGTCGTCCCCGATTTAATATCGGAAATTCGACAATGACGAAACTGCCCCCCGTCGTTCTGCCGCTCACCCCCCTCGAAAACAATAGAAATCCTACTAGTTCTAGTTCTAGTGTCCCACACAAGGGAGTTCTTGGCATCAAAACAGAGTCAAATTATGATCAATTGACCTCTAGTGATAACTTGACAACTCTCACTAATTCGGAGCCAATCACTCTTAATTTCGAGGATAATAATAGTGTTATTCCTCGTAACATCGACGAGTCCGAGTTAGGTAAAGATGTGACTGTCGAAGAATCCGACAAGACATTGTCGGATTCCCTTATTGAGGTTTCTCAAGAAATAACGACTAATAAACGAAAGCTTCCTTCGAACTATGTACCTCTATGGGGCTTGACGTCTATTTGTGGACGGAGGAAAGAAATGGAAGATTCCGTTGTGGCTTTGCCGAGATTCTTGAAGATTCCTTCTTCCATGTTGGACGACGGCCCACATTCTAGTTCCGCTCGTAAAGATTCGATCGCCCATGTGTTTGGAGTTTATGATGGACATGGTGGTTGCCAGGTAAATATCAAGGTTTTGTAGGGGTATTTTGGTAAGTTACACTAAATTGTAAAAAATAGTTATATTCGGGCCATAAAATAGCTATAGATGGCCCTCGAACCTGAATTTGCGTATCGTTTTATTGAAATGTATGTAATGATGAGAAGTTTGTGTGTATAGGTGGCTAACTATTGCCAAGACCGACTCCATCTAGTTTTAGCCGAAGAGATTGGCATTGCTAAAGAAAATTGGCTTAATGAAACCGAAGGATGTAACTCCGAGGAACAATGGATGAGGATCTTTCTGAGATGCTTCAATAAATTGGACAACGAAGTTGGTGGATTCCCCGTTATTGCTTCCGAAATTCCGGGGCCACCTATTGCACCCGACTCTGTGGGGTCCACTGCAGTGGTTGCCGTTGTTTGTTCGACCCATATAATAATTGCTAATTGCGGTGATTCACGAGCTGTCCTATACCGTGGGAAAGTTCCGATTCCTTTGACCATTGACCATAAAGTAAGAATCGAGGTTGTCTTGTGCGTGCATTTGTTTTCGAATATTTTTATTAAAAAAAAAGGTATTTTTTTGAAGCCAAATAGCGAAGATGAATGCGCGAGAATAGAAGCTGCGGGAGGAAAGGTGATTAAATGGGATGGATATCGTGTTTCGGGATTCCTAGCCGTGTCGAGGTCCATCGGTAAATTAAATTCCAATTTTAATTCTTTTCTTATCAGATTAAGAATCTTTGTTTCGTTTATGATCTTTTTTTTTTCTTGTGAGTAGGTGATAGATACTTGAGGCCGTATGTAATTGCGGACCCACAAGTGATGTTGGTTCGTCGGGCGAGAGAAGACGAGTGCCTTATTCTAGCGAGCGATGGTTTGTGGGATGTGATGACCAACCAAGAGGCTTGTGAGCTGGCGCGGTGGCGGATGCTGATGTGGCACAAAAGGAACGGCGGCGGTGATGTGGCGGGAGAAAGAGGGAACGGGGTTGATCCGGCAGCACAAGATGCAGCGGATTGCCTTTCGCGACTTGCTTTCCAAAGAGGGAGTGGGGATAATATCTCAGTGGTGGTGGTTGATCTTAAATCTCAAAGGAAGTTCAAATAATCGAGTTCGTTTTACTAATTAATTTCGAGGGTATACTCTCAAAATACGAACGAACATTAACGTGTGGCGAGAGTGGGCCCTACACTTGTGAAGTACATAGCAAGATCAATGTCAAGATGATCATACATTTTGATGAAAGGATGCTCCTGAAATTTCAAGAAAATATATATAAATATATATATATATATATATATATATATATATATATATATATATATATATATATATACCATAAGTTCATATGCTGACAGTCTCTCTTTAGGGTCTTTCTTAATGCTGCGAAAAAAGAAAAGTCGATAAGCCGATAAACAAGAAAGTTCTAACATGACTATAGTAGAAAACATGTAGATTTACGTACCAAGAGGAAATAAACGAACAAAACTCGGGAGAATATAAATCAGACGGTGCACGTGGGGCCGGTTGTCCAACGATAGTTTCCATGAGCTCATAATAACAGGTCCACCCCATTGGCTGTGGTGAAGAAAACGGAAAATGCCCCGTCGCACACTCTAGCATAATCAAACCGAGGCTCCATATATCACTCTTATAACCATAGTGGCCCCCACTTATTCTCTCCGGCTAGAGGACACAACGGTAAATAAAAAAAAATCAAGAATTTTGAAAAATAAAACGCTCGTAAAACAGCAGGAAGAAGATCCATCAAGAGCGTAAAAAGCTCACCGACATGTAGACGTAAGTGCCGACAAAGGAATCGGCTACACTAGATGTGCTACCCAGAATTGTACTAACACCAAAATCGGTGATTTTCACTTCGCCTCTGTGATTTATCAGCAAATTAGAAGGTTTTAAGTCTCTGTGTATGATATGCTTTTCATGATGTAGATACCACAGCCCTTTTAGTACCTATATGTATACAGTAGAACCTCAATAAATTAATAACTTCGCTTAAATAATAGTTTCTTCTGGTCCCGATTCGGTAAAAACCTACTAAATTATTAGTTCGATAATTTAATATTTCGCTAAATTAATAGAATCTTGCTACTGTATGTGTGTGTGTAGATATATTAATATACAGGACATGATTTTAGGATCTCGGTAGATAAGTAATCGTGCAAAAAAAAAAAAATTGCGGAATTTCGATTTAGTATATAAACGTAAGACCTTCTTAGAAATTGCTGCAAGATACGGCTCCGGGACCATATTAACCTTGTTGAGAAAATCTGCTAGAGATCCACCATCCATGTACTCCAAGATTATTGAGATTACACCGTTATCGAAAAAAGATTGATAACAAATCACGATATACGGGCACTGTGATGATCGGTTGATTTTTAGTTCTCGTACGATGTTCTTTCTCGCAGATTCTTCGATGTTCATCTGAATAACCTGAGATCAGCCACAAAATAGAGATTCTAATTGAGTTTTTTTCTTTCTTTTCTTTTCTTAAATGACAATTTTGTATATACCTTGAGAGCAAAAAATTGGCCGGTCGATTTATGTTGGACCAAGCTCACAGTACCCCCGTTTCCCTTACCGATAAACCGAACGGAATCGAAGTCGGCTAAACTCAACGGCTTGTCATCTGATGGCTGTATTAAGGTTGTCTGAAATAACAGATCATACAATTAGCAGTTGAATTTCTAATTTAGCCTAATTATTTTTTTTTTTCGATGTATTGAAGCTACAATCGTAAATCGATTATCGAATCACGGTTAAAATGAATCTAAGCTACAGTCATTGAAATTTCAAGAACTCAAACAAAGGAGAATTGAAAGAAAATTATCGAAATTTTTAAGACACGTACACTTTCAGCTCCCTTATGGGGGACAATTCGAACTCCGTTTCTGTTAACCAACAGATCACCATCCTTAAAAGTCCCTGATTCTGTCCTGTAATTATAAAAAAAATTAAAAAAAGCATGTCAGTTATAATTTGAGCTGCTACATTTTAATTGAGATAATTGAAAAAAAAAAAAAAAAAAAAAAAAAAAAAAGAGTACAAGAATTTAGAGAGAGAAAGTTGATCAGGAGGAGGGGGTCAGGAGGCAGAGGCCCTTTCTTCATTCTTCTTTTTTTTTTTCTTTTTTTTTTTTTTTTTTTTTTTTTTGTAATAATTCTTGTTGGCTTGAGTTCTGCTATATATATTTATTTCTGCAGTAGGGAGAAGAAGAAAGGCACTGTATTTTTGGGTAGTTGGATTAAAAAAAAAAAAAAAAAGTCTTTCAAAGTAAACGCACAAAAATTCCAACTCAAATAATCCCATTTACTCACGCGCTAAATTTCCAAATCAAATGTCCCACTCACTCTGTACACAGACTACAGTGGCGGAGCAAACATAGAGCCAAGAGGGGTCATTGCCCCCAACATTTTTTAGGTCGTGTTACATCATATCATCCACATGTTTAGATTCATATATATTTACACGCGTGTGCATGTATGTATATATTTGTGATTATTTTGTACATTAGACGTTAAAAATTGACTCAGTGCATTTTACAAGGTGTAACAACATCTACAAAACCATCTCATATCTCAGTAATTTAAAACGTGTGTTAATTGCTACAATTAAAAAATCTCCAAAAAATATAATGAAAATTTTGTCCCCAAAATATTACCAACATAAGTTTGTTTATATTTGCAACATTCTTCATTATTATATATGACATATAGGGCTCGTACAGTTACCGCTACAAGGTTCTACTGACTAAATAGTAGATGCTAAATAACACGTTCAATTGCCAAGATTAACATTTTTTTCGAACTCCTACTAAAATCGAAGTTCACTATTAAATGCTATTATTTCATTAAAATAGTAGCACCCCTCCCGCAAAAATTAATTTAATAGGGGGTTACTAAACAAGTAAAGAACCATGTTAATTTTATTAAGTAAAAGATTTAATAGAGAAATTACATGTAATACCAGAATTTAACATATTGAATACTAGATCGTATCCCGTGAACCGAATTTCTTACTAACTAAATAATTAATTAGTCAATAGAAAATTGATTTAATCTCACCTAGTCCAAACTAATCCGGTATACATAACCGATCGAGCCGTAATAAGCTATTAACTAAATAATTAATTAGTCAGTCAGTAAAAAATTAAAAAAAAAAAAATTCAATCTCATCTAGTCCAAACTAATCCGAGATACGGAACCGAACGAAGGCGTAATAAACATATTTAGCCCAACTAGAAGAGAATTGTAGATAATAATTGGGCCTGCAAAAAGGCCCATTAGTAATGCAGACATTAGCTCATTACCTAAAGTAGGTGAATAATTGGTATCGTATAAATAGCCCACCAACTCACTCTCCCCTCTTTCATTTTTCGTTAATTCTTCAGTGAAGTAAGTACCCCACTGATACAGCACCCTATTCAACGATCGCGTTCATCAAGGTTCCATTTTTCCTTTTTCTTCTTTTTATAATTATTAATTCATTTTTTTCTGTTCGCAGTAGATCCTTTATTCATGCTGTATTACGTATTTTGATTCGCTGTTGTTTCTGTTTGTGTTTGTGTTTTTCGTGATTCCAATTTTGTGAAAATGTTGAACGAGTTGATATTATTTTATTTATTAATTTCTGAGTGTCGGTTGAATTGATCTGTGCTGTGTAAATCGCGGCTTGTAGGTATCGGAGAGTGATGATCTGGTGTTTACATGTTGTTGTGTTCATGCATTTTTTTCTGTAAATAATATTTTTTTTTACTTCTTGTTTCTATCGATTTTTTTTTTCATTTAATTTTTTCATATGAGATCTGAAATTCATCTTATTTTCACTGTTTTTTCAGCATTACATCAGTTAAGAGAAGGTGATCCGTTTTGATTTGTTCAGTGATTAGCTAAGGGAAAGAAGAAGAAGAAAAAAATGGCGACCATGTCTCAGCTGCGTTACTCTCCGCTTTCCGGTCACTACCGCAGCACCACCGGTTCTCGTGAATTTACGAATTTAACCCCCATATTTGCCGATATTACTCTGCCCAACGCTATTTCCCTCCCTTCTCTAAAATGCAGTCGGAAGATATCATCGACTCCCGATTTTCAGAGCAAATTTCACCTACCTTGTGCTATTAGCGGCGGCGGTGGTGATATTGGTGCTGGACGGGGTAATAGTGGCGGTGGAGATGGCGGCAGCGGCGGCTGGAGCGAAGGAGGAGATTCTGACGAATCCAAAAAAATAGATGGATTCGGTCCAATTGGGGCTCTTCTCAGCGGATGGAGATCGAGGGTTGCTGCCGATCCACAGTTCCCTTTCAAAGTTCTAATGGAAGAGATTGTGGGTGTTAGTTCTTGCGTTCTTGGTGACATGGCATCACGACCAAATTTCGGACTCAACGAACTCGATTTCGTCTTTTCAACTCTTGTAGTCGGTTCCATTATGAATTTTGTCCTCATGTATCTCTTGGCTCCAACAATGGCTTCCTCTGCCCAAACCCTACCTTCCATCTTCGCCAATTCTCCCACAAGCCACATGTTTCAGCCCGGCCCATATACCTTGTTGGGTAGGGTCGGGACTTTCGTGTACAAAGGTGCCGTATTTGCAGCCGTCGGATTTGCAGCCGGACTTGTTGGGACCGCTCTTTCGAACGGGTTGATTAAGATGAGGAAAAAGATGGACCCCAACTTCGAGACTCCCAATAAACCCCCGCCCACAGTTTTGAATGCTATGACTTGGGCGATTCACATGGGCGTGAGCAGCAATTTCAGATACCAAACTTTGAACGGTGTCGAGTATTTGCTGGCTAAGGGATTCCCTCCGTTTCTTTTCAAGAGCTCGGTCGTGGTTTTGAGATGCTTGAATAATATTCTCGGAGGTGTGTCTTTCGTGGTTCTGGCTAGGTTGACTGGTTCGCAGAGTGTCGAGGCGCCAAAGGCGATTGCTTTTGATGAAGAATCGGATACGAAGCAGAAGCTGATGAGTGAAGCTGAGGAGTTACAAGCTAGAGAGGCTACATACAAGTGATTAATCCGTCTATTTTGCAAGGCGAGCACTCTCTTTATCCGCACCTATGATTTTATGGTTTTTGCATTATGTGAATGATGACATTTTCTTCTAAATGTTCGTTTTCTTTTTTCAGTTATCTTGTAGGCATCGATTTAGCTATAGTCTTATCTGCTTCGGTTTTCATCTACTTTCGGATACGTTTGTTTCATAATAACCATGATTGTCTAGTGCCGGTTGGTTTGGCTTTACTTTGCTCCGCCTTAAATCAAATGATGTTTGGCAAATCATGTGTTCTTTTACTTGTTCTCATCGAGTTGTTATAGATCGTATCGCGGACTCGAGTACTATATAGCCTCTATGAAATAGAGTATATACCGCCAAAACTAAAACTATGGATCGCATTTTCTTTTTTGTTCAATGTTTATATCGTGCATAGGGGTGTTCATTCTGATCCGGTCGGTATACCGACCGAACCGAACCGAAAATTCGGTACGTGCTGAATCGGTAATTCATTTCGGTATTCGGTTTTTTGGTTTCCAAAAATTCGGTTTTATTTGAATGAATTGTGATGGATTTGGTGTGCTTCGCTACTGACGTATCTGCCACGTAAGAATGGGATATCCATTGATTACTTTAAGCTTTCCTCCAAATTAAATATTAGTAATGATTAACTCAAAAAGATTGATTAGCGGATTGGGCAGAATTCTGTTTTCCCACGGCTTATCATTATTCATTAGCAATCAATTATAATATTTTAATGGATTAGATAGCTATATCTCAAGCTCATTTATCTCTTTTAATTGTTTATGGCTTTGAAAAGAAAATTAGCATATTTATAAATATATCCTTTTACTTTTAATATTTACATGTTTCCCTTAAATTCCAGTATTCCTATTTTTGGGACATGCGTTTCCCCGTATCCGCTTTCACGTCTTCCATATTGTTGTTTCTGTGTGTGCGTGCTACATATATATGTTTAGTTACTTGATGTATGTGAATTAAACATGTATTTGAAATTTACGTAGTGAATGAGACATAATAGAAACTTCGTTCACTTTCATCATTTTATTGGTCAAAATTTGATATAAAAATAGAATAAGAAAAAAAACAACATGATGTATTTACACACGTGTGTAATTTAAGTTGTTCAATATCCAGGCCCCATTAGTGTGAAAGAATTTGAGCAAATTATTTCTTACGTAATGAGATCGTTTTTACTAGTGCTATGACAAGAAAATAAACTAGTTTAAATTTGGGGGGTTTGTCTGTAATTAATTAACTTGATTAGTTTAATTATTTTAATGATTAATGATTGGAGTGAAAATTTGAAAATTCTCAAGTGAGAAAGGGGACAAAGGCCATCCAGCTGTTCAGGATACTTCGTGGGGGTTCATTTGTCTTTTTCCCAATCTTTCTAAATTAAAATGGATGAATAATTAACACATGAATAATTACAAAAGAAATGCTTCTTAATTATTTATATAAATTATATTTATTCTAAATTGAAATACTTCTTATTCTTTCCCCTTTTCATTTTTTTACAAAACAGATGTATATATTTGATAAAATAGTATTTAATGTAAACCAATTCATAGTATATTTAATAAAAACAAATAAATGGTCAAATTCGTATCGAGGAGTCAACATTACGTGACGTGATAGAGTATGGTTACATGACAAGAAATATTTGAATTATAGTAAAGCTTTTGTTTGTAGAAGTAGACCCCAAATCAAAATCGTGGGACCTTTTCTTTTCTTTTCTTTTCTTCAAATTAAATTAAATATGTTCAAAATGTATACAATGGTAGGTTATATTTTCGATCATCACAGCTAAGCTTTTGTGGCCAAAAAATTCATTCATTCTTTTGCCCCTTTTTGAGGACTACTAATAAAATTTATTTAATAAATTTATATATTGATTGATGTGGATATACATGGTTGATCCCAACATGAAGAAGTGTGCGATGGGGCTAGAATGAGAGAAGTCCAAAATTTATCCCGATAGATCTTAAAAAAACAGTGTCGGGGAGGGGTTTTTTCGGTATTAGCACTCCAATGATTAAGTAAGTCGAAATCGTGGATAAACAATATATGCTTATTTTAGTTTATGTAACAAAAGTAAGGTGCATTTGGCATACGATTCTCTCTGCTTCCCGATTTAATAAGGTTGTATATATATCCTTTAGGACAGTGGCGGATTCAGGACGAAAATTTAGGGTATGCCGGCTATACCGAGTCCAAGAATTTACTGTATAGTGGGGTTAAATTTTTTGGCGTTCGGGGGCAGCGCCCCCGGAAAAAAAAATTTGAACCTTTTTTTGTTGGATAAATTAGGAGAAGGGAAAAAAATTGAAACTTTTTTTTTTTTGATAAATTGGGAGAAGAAAAAAATTGGGACTTTTTTTGTATATTTTGAATTTTGGGTGGACTAAATAATAATATAGATGTAATATAATGTGTTTTTGGGGAGAGGGGCTAAAAAAACAAGAAAAAAATTAGGACTTTTTTTGTATATTTTGAATTTTGGGTGGACTAAATAATAATATAGATATAATATAATGCGTTTTGGGGGAGAGGGGCTAAAAAAACAAGAAAAAAGTTATGACTTTTTTTGTATATTTTGAATTTTGGGTGGACTAAATAATAATATAGATATAATATAATGTGTTTATGGGAGAGGGGCTCAAAAGAAATGTAGACGAAAAATTAAACAATACAATACTTTTTTGTACCATAATGGAGTCGAACCCATGACGTGATCTAATAATTTGGAGATCTTTGCCACTAAGGCAAATTTATTTTCGTTTCTTGGGGTGGTCCATGGCATACTTGCCCACCCCCTAGATCCGCCCCTGCTTTAGGATCAGGGTGGTGAGCTCTCCTTCTGTCTCTTGTCATACTCACATGCATATGTGATGTGATTACTCCGAGTTACTTGTCTGCTAAACGCGAGTTGTCCCATCCTTTACGAGGTGGAGAGGGCTCGCAAATGTTCTCATCGCCTTTTAGATGTTAATTTGGGTTTTTTTCTAGTCCATGTCAAATTTTCTTAATCACATCCGCCACATATGGCTATCCTATATGGATTAACGGTTGGCTTAGTTGGCTATAGGAGGTGGGTTTAGACTTAGTTTGTAGAATTTTATTATTTGGACTTTTGATGCCCGAAATCATATATATATATATATATATATATATATATATATATATGTACGTGAGAGATATAGAGAAAGAGAACCATATTCGAATTCACATAAATGAAAAATCAAAGGAAAATGTTTTTGTTCACCCTCACGGTTTAATTGATCGAAACTCGGATGTTATAATTACAAAAAATTGTATCTAAAATATGAGCACGGATATAATTCACAATATAAATGTAATGCAACTTTTGCTATATCCAATGAGCCAACACCTAATAATCATTGTGATTAATCAATATTTGCAATATTATGGGGGCAAAAACGATTTTTCACAAGAAAATAGGCCAAAAGTAGGCTATGATAGTGCACCACTAAACCAACAAAAAGTAAAATTTAAATTTTTTGACCTTGCTATTTAAAAAACAAGAAAGCAAAACAACCCCAAAGAAACAAAAAGTTTTGGTTGTAGATCTTGGTAGATATTTATGTTCAAATGATATATAAACCTTTTGAAAATTCATATTGAAGTTGGTAATTAAAGAGTGTTATAGCAAAAATATTTTGTAAATTCAAATTAACGATTTTTTCGTGTGATGCTATAAACATTGTTACGAATCTTGAAAACTGTAACAGTATCTGAAAATCACGTTGCCGTCATTTTTATTAAACGAATTTTAAATTATATTGTCTCGAAGAAATTACCCGAAATGTATATATAACAATTCAATTCGACATTAATGAAAATAAAATAAATAAATAAATAACCTAAAAATCACACCTATTAATTACTTAATACTTGGTGAGTTTTATTGCAAAATCCACACAACAAGCAAAAACAAGAATGGTGGTGGCTTTTGACAGCATTTGAACTTTGAAGATTTGTCACAAACTAAAGCTTCCACCGATTCGAAAAGTTTGATCAAAATGGAATTTTTCGATTAACTTAATGCAAAGTGAGATTAACTAATTAATTAATTAATTAATTAGGTTCATTATTAGAGGATTTGCAGGTAAAGAATGTGTGCAAACAAATAGTAGAAATAAAAAAAGTCATTTTCACTCCAACTTTTGGCAAAGTTGATGATGATGTAAAGGTGTGCATTGGTGTTTTTCTTTTTTATAGTTTTTATTTATTATTTATTTATTAATTGGGATGCAAATAAATTAAAAAGGACACAGATTCAATCATTCCAACCACGCTCCAATCATACAACTCGTGAACTGATTATATTATATATTATACATTAATTACTATTTAATGATTTTTGCATTTCCACATAATTAGTTTCTAAAAGAAAAAAAAAAATATTTATGTTCGTATTTCTATGAATTTCATTTTTGCAATTTAAATAATTAAATAATAACTGTTATGCTGAAGCTCTGGTTACACCTACCAAAATATGTACATGGTGAATTATTGTTTTGTTGTGGATATTTTTTTCATATACAAATTAAATGAACGACTCTACTAATTTAATTTAATTTAATTTATTGAATAAAATCCGGGAGTATTTTATTATAAATCTTTTACCTACAAAATGGAAAATCAAATGAAGCAACCAATGTATCATTGACTAGCAATATTAAATATACCTATTTCGAGGAGATAAATAAACAATATATAAAAGCCCTATTTCAATATTCGCAGTTTCAAATTTATTGCTTTTGCATGAAATAGGGAGCTACTTAAAATTATTTTACGTGTTTTTAAAATTAAATTATATATATATATATATATATAT